TGGGGCTGTTTATTTGGTTTTAGGCTAAGGTTGACTGCTTTCGACAAAGATGGTTCCAATAGTTTGAATACTTAATGACCATAAAAAAGAAGGAAAGTGAATTCTATACGATCATGCAGAAAAATAATATTAATGTCAAAGTGCATAGTCTGACAGTCTTCAATTCAAACGCTGATAGTATAAATATAAGTTTCTATATAACCCAAAGTCTCAATAAGGATCATGCGTTGTAAATGATTTTAAGGGATCACTCATCACTGACTCAGTTATTAGAAGATTATTATATAAGCTTTGAATATCAAGTTCCTTTTTTCTCTATTGACATGAAATCCAACCCCCTGGCTCAAATTTGCTAATTGTGTTTACATAAGCGGTGAAGGATTACATTTTCTGTGTATTCAAAGAAAATTTCATTTTACGGAATGTAATTCCTTTCCCAGAGTGTAGCGGCGTAAATTCGTTGTAGCGCCCTCTTTTGGTAATGTTGTGCGATGAACACTCGCGTTCCAGAAACGTCTTTCCTCGTGATGTAAGAAGACGGTTGAACCACAATACCGGCAGTTTTATTAGCTAAGTTAACCCTAGGAATGCAACAGTCGGTAAGAACAGAGAATTCTCCCATGTCAGAAATCACCGAATAATATTAAATTAGTGTTAAAGGTTGGTTAGGGGACTAGAGGAACGGGTTGTAACATTTGTAAAATCATAGAGGGTTATTGCTGGTTCTGTTTATTATAAGCATACTACATGGAGTCACATGTACAATTGTATACTTGTATTAATGGTCATTTGGGTTCCACACGTGGCAAGTACACTAGGTACATAATAAGTAAATTCATTCTACTCATATTGTAGTTGGTAATTTTCTTCATTTAATCACGTAAGCGGGTGCTAATTAGGGTTAATGCACATGTATATTATATGAGGTTTACATGTTTTCGTTGTCAATGAATTGCAGCGAACCACTAACTCTGGACTTGTATCAAGGGTTGTCGTTAAGAAGTATTACACACTCAAGTTCTTCTGTGCTTCAAGACAAGCTGTCCCCAAGGAGTCCTTTGTCAGGGTGTTCCCACTTGCATTATTTCTTATGTAACTTAAGAGGTTACAATATAGTTGGAAAGGAGTGAGTATTCAAGGGAAGTTGCGTTCAAAAGTTCGGAAATGAACACTGAGAAAGGTCACAAACATTTCCAAATGCCTCACAATTGCAACTGGAAAGGAAAAATAACTGGAGTGGTTTAATTTATTTGAAATATTTCTTGTTCCAGTGAAGTTTTTTTTCATCGTTGGATTTTATTAATTGAGTAAAAAATGATGACGTTTGGGTCATTGTCAGAAAGTCATATGCACATCTTTTAACATATCTTATGTCAAAAGCTAAAAAAAAATATCACGAAAAGTATTGATTATTGCTTTTGGTGGTTGTTGTTTGGTGGTTGTGTTATTTGCTCGTTTTTGTCGTCTTGCCAAATTTCTTTCCATGTAAATGCAAATGATCCTGGGCCCATCCCCGGTCAAAACACGTGTAGGGAGATATGTCCGTACAGTAACTGCTCCATCGTCTCCTGAATTTTTAATACATCCTGTCTACATTAGAAACCTATACTCCAATTATACTGTATTGTCAATTTTTACGGTAAGTTCCACAACATGACTATTTGAAGTCATTAAACTCTAAAGTCGTATGCAGGTGCACTTTGCTTCGGCATTTTTAATAGAAATTCATCACTTTGGCCTATTACTGTTGGTGCGGTGAGGTCTTGTGTGTCTTGCACTTCGAATGATCTAGACAATCAAGGTAATAAGTAACTACAAAGTTGTTAGTGGAACATAAATTAAATATTGGGACTTGCTCTGCTAAAACAAAACAACATTTGAAGTTCAGATGTAATTAATACCTGCTCAAGGTCGGATCCAAACTTCATTTTCTTTGGGCCCACTGTCTCGGGTGGGGGGGGGACAAATGTGGGTTGTTTTTTCATGTAACCTTTTATGGCCTGTCTAAGGCTATACAGCAGGGTAGAGAGAGAGGAATTAACAAGACAAAAAATCATCATTCTTTTTCTTTTTATTTATTTGGGGGCCCCTTTGGGTTGAGGTACGCCCCCGGATCCTCCCTTGCGCCTGCAGTATTTACTGTACAGTAATGCATGTACCATAGACTGCATACATCTGTGTCATATAATGCGTATCGTGCTACGACTGTACCACTCCCGAAAGAAATGTAGAAATCTCTAGGTACACTTTGAACAAAAACTCCATTGAAAAAGAGCTTGTTTTAGCGGAAGTTCTTACCTCAAAATCGTTGCTTTCTTCAAAAGGACTGGCATTCGGTGAGTGGTACCCGCATCCTCGACTTTCTTTGCTGCAAACGACGCCTTACTAAAGCAGTCTCCGAGTCAGGCACCCCGACTTGGCATGTTCACACGTTCAAACAACTGCACAACAAACTAATAAGCTTGTTGTTTTCAAGGAGCGATGAATTATTCAAAATCCAGATGACAAATAGCTTCTTCGACATTTTAGCTCTTCTAAAGTTGTCTGTATTAGTGTACCAACGAGCTACCAATCCAAGGTTTCTCTTTCGTCAACGAGTAACCGTAAGTACGGATTCGCAGCTACACTTGTTTATTCCAGGAGTGTTCATCCGCCATTACTTATATCAGGCAAGATATGGGACGAAGGGGTAACCCCCTTACCTGTCCAATCCCTATACACACTCTAGACTATTGTTACCTAACACATCCCCCCAGAAGTCTGTCAACAATTCCTGAGATTCCGATCAAACAATGACCAACACAAAGGCGGGGGGGGGGTCTCTCCGTCCCACATATCTTGCTTCAAATGCCATTACTAGCTACGTGCAAAGCTTGTCCGCATGATCTCCGATACACGTACAAAAAAATTTAATCTATTGTCAGCTGAGAGCTGTCCAAACGACATTCCTGAAGTCGTTGGGAACAACAACTTTGCCCATACGGTATTTCCCCGAATCTTGGCTTTGTTCCCGCTTTCAGCTTAGGCTCAATTTTTTTGTGAAGTCAGTTCCCCACAACGAATTGAATTGACATGAACACCTAAAACATCCCCATGGGCGGCACAAGCGGAGGGATTGAGGGTACTGACCCCCGGGGGGGTTAAGAGAAAAGGGCAAACTTAAGAAACAAAAAAGGAAGGGTGAAAATCACCAGTTGACGTGAAAACGCCTGGAATCAACTCTTTTACTGGTTGGATCCATTTTACGTCGCAGCCTCCATTTGACTTTTTCAGTAATAATTAACAGAACTAACACAGGGGTGCTATGTTGTAGGATTCATCCCCTTCAAAACTGGGGTACGAAGGGTCTTTCGGGTTTATAAGATCATACGTCTTATAACACAGCAATCAATAACAGTTGAAAGTATAATGT